AATTTATCTACATATGTACCATCTTTTATGATAACTTTTTTAAAACGTGCTATATCACTTTTGTTCCGTAAGTGTTGTTTAAAACGCTTTTATAAACCTTGAAAGCTCCACGTTGGATGTCCATTCGCGGTCATAACAATTTTCAATTTTATATCGAGGGGTACTCTATCTACAGGGTGTATCAGAGCGACCGTATCAGGCTGGTATTTCGAAAAATACGCATTTACTTGAAAAATGTTCCGAACAAAAGTTGTAGGACTTTAAGGGGCGCATTACATAGTATGGTTAGTGTGACCTTGGATAGTGTTGTTAAGGACACGGAAAAATCAATTAAAAGTTTTTAAATGGAAACCTCTATTTTTGATTGTATATTCTTATAGCTGACCTCGAGAGCTTTCCAAAACACTATAATAAAGTATTTCTTCATTGCGTACTTTTCGAGTTATGAGGCTTGAAATCATTTCTTAATTTTACATAAACCGTAAAATATCTTGTGAAATATTCATTTTTCGATTATCTTACCTTAATAATTCATTTTTCGATTATCTTACCTTAATAATTTTATGTACAAAATAATGAGAGAAATCAATTGATGTAAAGAAAAAACATAGTTGTTTTTAAGAAAAAAGTATGTAATTTGCAATTAACAATTACATTTTTTTTTTAAAAACAACTATGTGTTTTTTACACCAATTGATTCCTCTCATTATTTTGTACATAAAAGTATGAAGGTAAGATAATCGAAAAATGAATGGTTTACTAGATATTTTATGGTTTATGTAAAATTAAGAAATTATTTCAAGCCTTATAACTCAAAAAGTACTTAATAAAAAGGTACTTAATTATAGTGTTTTGGAAAGCTCTCGAGATAAGCTACAAGAATATGCAATGAAAAATAGGGGGTTCCATTTAAGAAATTGAAGGTAATCTTTATGTGACCTTCAAATGACTATCCAAGGTCAAATCTAAGATCACCGTCGGATTGCCCGGGAAAAATCCTACAACTTTTGTCTAGGTCATTTTCCTCTGTGATGCGTATTTTTCAAATTATCCAGCCGTCCCGGAACTTTTGACACACGCTGTATATATTACTTATATATATATATATATATATATTACATACATATATACATTTATATATATATATATATATATATATATACATATATACATATATATACATTTAATGCTTTTGACGTTTTTATTTAAATTCTGTAGAGAAATATCAACAAAATTATCATAAATAATTAGCATAAATAATTTTACACCAAAATTTCACATAATTTCAATAAGGCATAGCTTCTTTAAAAGTCGTAACTGAATAATGTTTTTCTTTTCTTAAGAGAATTAATCCTCTATTTTAAGAAATATTTGTTAGATTTTTTAAATTTATGCTTCCCTCTTCCACCATCTTCTTAAAAGTAAGAGCATGTATTACATGCAAAAAATTGCATAATTTGATGCACTCTATAAGATAGAATTATATTTTCTCACAAGTTTCATGATAATTATCATAAAATATAGACTTTTCTTTTTTATAAATAAAAAAGTGAGTAATTTTGTACGATTCTTTTTCGGGGAGTAATGGCATACTAAATAACATTTTTGTTCAATTCTCGTCAACATTAACATTACTCGGTGTCTATCACAAGAAGATTTCTGGATTAAGCGCATTACATGATGGATTAAGCGCATTACATACGTGCGTGAATACGTGTGTGCGTACACGCACATATGTGAGAATGTTTATCACAGCAAAGATATGTTAAGAACTCTCTGATTCACGCGATATTTGATGAATAATCTCATTAAATATCACAAGAGGATAAACCTTATTTCTGCTATGACAAATGCGCGCGCGCGAACACATGCACACGCACGCACATATACGATGCACTAAATCCGACCAGTAACTTCCTCGTGATGGGTCTCGGATAGTGCTAATTAGACGGTAATTAGACAAAGTTGTATGGATACTTTACTACGCCATTACTCCGCGAAAAAGAATCGTACAAAATTACTGATCTTTTTAATTTATAAGGATGAAAAGTATTTCGCGAAAAGAATCAAATCTTATTTTTGGTAAAACTGTATATTAGTGACGACCTCACCAATTTCGATGACCTTGACATATGTTGTCAAAGACATATCCCTAATTAATTTGCAAAAAGCCGTCGATCGTTATTTATTACAAAGTTATTTACAAAATAAGTTCAATGTTGCTGTAAATTCTTATTCTGGATAAATCTGCACTCTCAGCAAGCTCTTATGGGAGGGCTCCACCAGTTCCGAAAGATACAACCTAACCCAAATCTATTTCTGTTAAATTAAATTTATTTTAGAGAGTAGAGCCCACTGGGGGGGGGGGGGAGCGGAATCCACTGTATCCATTCATATACTTTGTAAAATAAAGGAAAGTTCATTCTACATTTTATTTCTTGTTGAGAGTGCAGTTTATACAGTTTTACTCAAAATAAGTTCAATGGTCACGCATAGTTTCAATTTTTTACATTAAACAACGTTTACTCTATATTTTGTGTGTGTGTGCTTCCTGTTTTCAATGCAAAATTATACAATCTATTATTATACAGGGTTTACCAAAAGTGTGGAAACCTCTTAATATTTCGAAAAATACGCATTTTAAAAAAAATATTTCAGACAAAAGTTATATGGCTTGAAGGGGAACATAAGATGGTATCATTAGTTTGACCTTGAAGAGTCACCTAAAGGTCACGTGAAGGTCACATCCAACTTTTTAAACGGGACACTCTATATGCTTTTACATATATATATATATATATATATATATATATATATATATATATTCTTATAGTTCATCTCGAGAGCTTTCCAAAATACTATAATTAAGTTAGTTTTCATTAAGTATTTTCCGAGTTATGAGGCTTGAAATCATTTCTTAATTTTACATAAACTGTAAAATATCTAGTAAAATATTCATTTTTCGATTATCCTATCTTAATACTTTTATGTATAAAATAATAAGAGGAATCACATAATTGTTTCAAAGAAAAAATATGTAATTTGCGATTAACAATCAAATAACAATATAAACACAGGCTTATTTTAAGGACCAACCAAATAAGAAGAAATTTCTTATTTGGTTGGTCCTTAAAATAAGCGTGTGTTTATATTGTTATTTGATTATTATCTTTCGACCACCTTTGCTTGTTAGTCTTTTTTATTGCGATTAACAATTCCATATTTTTTCTTCGAAACAATTATGTGTTTTCTTTACACCAATTGATTCCTCTCATTATTTTGTACATAGAAGTATTAAGGTAGGATGATCGAAAAATGAATATTTTACTAAATATTTTACGGTTTATGTAAAATTAAGAAATGATTTCAAGCCTAATAACTCGGAAAGTACTTAATGAAAGCTAACTTAATTATAGTGTTTTGGAAAGCTCTCGAAATGAACTATAAGAATATGCAAAAGCATATAGGGTGTCCCGTTTAAAAAGTTGAATGTGACCTTCACGTGGGTCACCTTCAGGTGACTCTTCAATGTCAAACTAATGACACCATCTTATGTTCCCGCCATACGACTTTTGTCTGAAACATTATTTTTTAGAATGCGTATTTTTCGAAATAAAGGGTTTCGAAATAAGGGGTTTCCACACTTTTGGTAAATCCTGTATAATTTCATATAGATTTTCAGTATTCCACGCAAAATAAGGTTTACTATTATACCATCGGTTAGTCAATATCTTTAGTTATTTTATCTTTGTTATATAAATAGCGAGTGACGGTTAAAATATTTTGAATGTCACTCAGGAACATGTTTTCGATAACATATATCGAGGTCATCAATATTGATGAGGTCGTCGCTAATATGCAGTTTTATCTTATTTTTTTTAATTGATAAAGAAATGTCCTCATTTTACGATAGTTAGCTTAAAATTTGCGAGAAAAATTGATTTCACCCCGTAGAGTGCATTAAATTATGCAATACAATACACGCCAATTATTTTTGAAAAGATAATGGAAGAAAAGATAAAAATTTAACAAATGCTTTTTAAAGGCTTCATTTTTGAAAAGGAAGGAAGAGTATTCGAATGTGGCATTCTTCCGATTGAGATGAAACTTTGCACATAGCCTTGATAGATCATATTAAGGTCAACTGTTAAGGTCGTACATCTGGATTTTCAATTGTTTAAAAGTTATAAATATAAATGTTACTTAAATTAGTAAAAATCCAGAAAAAAACAAGAAGCTCCAATGAACTTGACTTTAATATATATTCTTAAGTAATGACTCTAAGAGACATTTAAAAGATTTTAGCTGTCCTTCATCCTTATTCATAATTATTAACTAAAAAAGTTTTGTAAATAATATATATATATATATAATATATATATATATATATATTTTAGGCATCATATGCGTATTGACTATGTTACTTAGAGCATAAGGTGTGGAATGAATCTCGCTTCGCGTGGAAAGTTGCAAACCCATATGGAACCAAACAATAGTAGAAATTAGAAATTTCAACATCTATTACACATTATAACTTTCTACGCGAAGCGAGATTCATCATCTTTTGCTCTAAGTGCGTAACATGATCAATGCATATGATATCCGAAAAATATATATTATTTACAAAACTCTTTTGTCAGTATATGAAATTATTTATACGATAATTTTGTTGATCAGTATTTGCAAAAATGCAAAGAATTAAATTCTCTCTTTAAAAAAATTTTTTCATCTCTAAAGAAAGAACAAAAAAGAAAAAGAAAGAGAAGAAAAGAGAGATAGAGAAAGCGTGAAAATGAGAGAGAGTGAAAGAGAGAGGGCAAGGAAAGAAGAGAATTGTTTTTCTAAATAAAATATGGTTGATTATGTATTATATTTCTGCAAAGACTCATTTTCTGGATTTTTGCATTGCTTAGTCTTTCTTTGCTTTTCTTTTGTCAGTATTTAATTATTTGAAATGCATATTAATTTAGCTTCCATATATTTTTATGTAAGCAGTTTTATTGGAAAAACGCAACGAGCTATTCGATATATACTTTTTAAAACTACGCTTACAATGGGATTTACCGTAATCAGCGGCTGCTTTCCCATTCTATACGTAAGTATTTATTATTGCAAACCCATATGGAACCAAGCAATAGTAGAAATTAGAAATTTCAACATCTATTTCACATTATAACTTTCTACGCGAAGCGAGAAAAGTATAATGTGAAATTATTGTAAACTGAAGAATTTTTAAATTTAATTGCAAATAATTTGACAGATACAATCTCATATCCTGATCCCTCAATTCTTATCTATGATAATAGCAGCTTTGCAACGAATGTATATCACAGCGTTGGCAGCCAATGATTTGAAAGAAGCTGTAAGTTTTTTGAAAAAATTATTTAATAAAATAATAAAAAGCTTATAAACGCGAATTTAATTTGTTATATCACATTATTGTTTACATAGTGATTCAACATAACCTATCATCCTTAAAATGACATATTTCTGAGATGATTTAATTCTGAGACAATTTTTACTTTTGTAAAATTTTTTCGAAACTTAATTTTAAAATTATAAAAGGAAATAATTAAGAGGATGCTGGAGCCGCGACCAAATTCCGACGGATTAGCGCCCTCATCTAAACGGAACTAAAATTGTCGACATTATCGACAAAATTATCGATAATATCAATAATTTTAGTTCTGTCATTACCGATACTAATATTTATTACTTACAAGGGAAGCGTCACAACTGTCCGATTTGATTCTGCTTCAAATATGTTGTTAAACATATACACAAATCTAGAAGACACATATTTTTTTATATGTGCGGATTTGAGTTTTAAGGGGTGAAACACCCCTTAAAACCTTTGAAGAAAAACGGTATTTTTCTTTAGAATCGAATATCTGCTAAACTATAAGAGTTAAAGAAAAAAAACGTGCAACAAATTTTAATGGCTTGAAGAGTTTAAAGTTATATGAACAAAATTTTTTTATTTTTTATTTTTTTTTTTCAGAAACCTCCACCACTTAATTTTTTTTTCAAAATTAAAACTTTTGTACTTAATTTAAAGCTTATTTTTTTCTAAATTCAACCATGTGTAATAAAGTTATGTTACGAAATATCATTTTCGAAAATTAGTTATAAACGTTCCCGTATATACCCTCATCCGTGCTATGTACATAAGTAATTACCGTCGAACAATGAGATATATAAAAAATGTTTATGTATAATTTTTATTTATGTATGTTTTTTTCTATGTATTTATAACTATATATTGTACATATTTATATTTAAAAAAAATATATTTGTATTTTATATTATCCACTCATTATATACATTACAATAATGATATTCGACAAAAAAATGTTTCAAGCATAATGACTTCTTGCACCAAGAACATCTTACTACAGCTATATTATTGCAATCTTCAATATCACATTTTGTTGAAGTTTCGTCGAAACTAAAGTGTACTGGATTTTCAAATTCGTCTGGTCTTTCATTCGTATAACCACTTTTAAACCACGGATATTTAAATAAGTTTTGACATCGTGGGGATGACAATTGATTATGTACCAAAGATTGTAGTAGTAAAAGTAGTAGTAATAATTTATTTGCTCTCCTCAGAGTTACAAACTATATAATACAATACAGTCAACTTATTACAAAACATCGCGCTACAAAAATATCCGCCATACATTAACTCTTATACTAAAACTTAACTTATTGTCTTAACCTAAGCCTTATTCTAACTCAGTGGGGGAGCTCGGGTGGCGATGTCCCCCCCGATTACTTCCGGCTATCCACCGCCCCCTCCCTCCCCCCTCCTCCCTCACACGCTCTCGCAAAAATGTGGATTTCCGCTTCCTTTTGCTTATATCACATCCTTTCTCTCCCTTCATTTTCGCCCCCACCACCAACATCCATACTCCATCCATCCATCCACTCTTTCTCATCCTTGACCTCCTCTCCTTGACCCCATCTCCCTCCCTCCACCTCCTTTCCTCCTGCTCTAAATTCTCCGCCCCTCTATCCCTCTCCCTCCCTCCCCCTTTTCCTCCCCAGATCCCTCATCCATTCTTCACCCTCTCCCTCCTCCCCCAGTATCTTACCTACATTCTCCTGCCAGCTCCCCCTTCTTCCTTCCCACTCCCTACAATTCTCCCATACATGTTCCCACGTTTCTTCATCTTCTCATAGCCTACATAACTTCCTCTCCTCCTCCTCCCAGTATCTGCTTTCCCTTACTTCCTCATCCAATCTAAATTTCGCTACCTTCCTCCATCTACTCTCTCCCCATCCTTTTTTTAGGTATCTCGGTATGCCCCTTTACCTTCTTATACCACCTATTATACCTCGCCCCCTCTATTCTTTCCCTCCTCTGCATTTCTCTGTCCCTTTCCTCCATTTCTCCATACCAGTTCTCCCCCTCCTCCTCCCTCCTCTCTAGTAATTCTATCTCCATCTCCCTCTCCCCGAAGAAGTTCCTCCTTTCCTTCTCCCAGCCCGAACTCACCCCCCCCTTTCGCATCTCTCCCTCATCTCTTCCATACATCTTCTCGCTATTTCACTCCCTTTCACCTCCCTTAACCTCTTCTCCCAACCCCATGCCCTCCTGCCTGCCCCTGTCTTCAGCTTCTCCGTCTGCAATTCTTCTCTGATCAAATATCCTGGCGTCCTCCCCTCTACCTACAACAGCAATCTTAAATATCTCTCCTCCACCCTTTCTATCCTATCCCTTTCCCTCCATCCCCATACTTCTACCACATATCCCAACACCGTTCATACTAACCTATCAAATATCCATAATCTCCTAGCCCAATCTCTCCTAAACCTTCTCTTCCCTATTCCCCATACCTGCCCCATTACCGCCATTGCCCTTTTTGCCCTATCCCTTACCTGCGCCTCCTGCTCCCCGTTTCTTTGTATTACATACCCCAAATATTTGAACTCCTTCACTTCCTCCAACTCTCTTCCTTTCCATCTCCTTTCCTCATCATTCTACCCCCCCCCCCCCTAAACCTCATTATCTTTGTCTTTTCTGTGTTCACTTCCAGTCTTTTCCTCTCCATATACCCCTCCAGCCTCTCAATCATGCTCCTCATCCCTTCCTCATCCTCCGCTAATAACACAATATCATCTGCGTACGCCAGTGTGTACACTCTCCCTCCCCCAAGCCTTACCCCTCCCCATTTCATCCTTCCCATTTCCTCCTCCAGATCCGCCGTTAACAAATTAAACATTATAGGACTCAGTGGACATCCTTGCCTTAATCTCCTCGCCATCCAGAAGCTTTCACTCTTTATGTTTTCCTTTAATTCCACTTCTGCTTCAAATACTGGCATTTCTGTCAAATCTAACAACATTAAGTGAATTGATAATCATATTCAAAGATGTTAAATTTTGCTTTCTATTGCAATAGAAAAACAGTTTACACAGATATTATTACAACGAAAAGACTACATTGATTGTGAGAATTATGCTGCTACATGAACAATTTATATTAACTTATTTTTTACTAGTTTTTAATTTTTATAGAAGAAATTAAATATAAATTTAAATATAAATTTAAATATAAATTTAATTTTTATAGAAGAAATTAAATATTAAAGAAATAATAAGAGACCTGAGAGTATATTTAAAAAATTCTTATTAATAATATTTAAAAATTTTTTTAAAAATTTAAATATACACAATACATAGTTATAAATACATAGAAAACATAAATAAAAATTATACATAAACATTTTTTATTTATCTTATTGTACGATGGTAATTACTTACGCACATAGCACGGATGAGTATATATAGGAGCGTATATAGGAGGGAGCATTTATAACTAATTTTTGAAAATGATATTTCGTAACATAACTTTATTACACATGGTTGAATTTGGAAAAAAATAAGCTTTAAATTAGGTACAAAAATTTTAATTTTGAAAAAAAAATTTAAGTGGTGGGGGTTTCTAAAAAAAAAATAAAAAATAAAAAAATTTTGTTCATATAACTTTAAACTACTCTTCAAGCCATTAAAATTTGTTGCACGTTTTTTTTTCCTTAACTCTTATAGTTCTTAACTCTTTAGCAGATATTCGATTCTAAAGAAAAATACCGTTTTTCTTCAAAAGGGTGTTTCATCCTTTAAATCTCAAAATCCGCACATATAAAAAAATACGTGTCTTTTAGATTTGTGTATTTAACAACATATTTGAAAGAGAATCAAATCGGTTCCGGACACTTCCCTTGTAAGAAGAAGATGTTATTTAAAAAAAAATATTACTTCCCCTGTAATGGCGTTTTAATCTACACATTCTTGGTTTATTACTGCTATTCATTTTCTCTTTCCTTGTGCTCTTCTTACTGTTGAGAAATCTAGATTAACTCAGATGTTTTTGAAAATGCTCTAGATTAACTCAGATGTTTTTGAAAACGCTATTAGCGCGATTTAGTGGCATTCTTTTGAACGGGCTCTTGATATGACCTATTGAATATTTAGCGAAAATGCTAATTGTTAATTGTTGCGTTGAAGAAAAGTAAATTTTTAAAAAGATATTATAGAGCGGATTGCGTTTATACATTGCGTTAAAAATCTCTATTGTTGCGATATTACCATTGAATTTTGTCCTTGCTATATATCGAATTTATCTATATCATACATTTTTACTTTTCCGATCTATATAGTAATCTATTTTTATTTATATATTTTTCTTATTGTATTTGATTTTAGCAATCTTATTAATATTTATTTATATTATTTCAATATTAATATAATTTATATCGTACACTGAAGAGAGTCCGAATTGAATTAATACGTTTATAATTATATCTTTTATTGAAAATTATATTTTTATCATATTTTTATTACAGTACTGTGTTTTTTAGTCTTAGGCTCTCATTTATGTGATTTTATCTTATGGAACTATACGGACGTAGATATATTTAATTTTTAATTTTGTTTGAAAATTCTAATTCTACATTATTTATTGTTAATTTACTGTTATCTTTATGAAATTGCAAAGAAAAAAACATCATCATGAGTAGCAAACACCATGATACGAAAGGCGCATGCATAGAGATATTTTTAGCTTATTTCTAAAAAATATGTTTTCGGAATACATTTATCATATATATGATTAAATTTGGCGTTAAATATGCTTATGTTTTGCTATAAAAGAAATTTCAAAATTTTAGAGGAAATTGGGAAAGGAAGAGGATTTCGATTGTGACATTTTTATAAAATCTGATTACACTATTATGAAGTACACTTTTATAACATTTTTATTGAGAACTTTTTAAAAAATTTTTCATCATTTCAATGATACTTGCTCAGAAATATAAAAACTGATTTTTTTAAAGATGTTTTGTCTCCTTAACGGTCGTATAAAAAAAATATGTTATTTGAATCTAGATATATTCGAAGCTCATCAAAATCAGTGGGTGAATTGTATATTTCAATCCTTTTTTGTCAGAACCACATTAAACTAAAAGATTTTCAAGACCATTTTGTCGACAAGAGCTATTGGATAGGATGTTTGAGGTGGCTCTCGATTATCCGATTAGTTAATCAATCCGGTCAATCGATAATTGATATGTATATTGCGCGATTTATTAATTGGTAGAAAATTGTGAGATCATATGGACAGCGCAATTGTAGCGCAGTGCATTCTTGTAGAGTAATGTAGAGGTACAGTACGAAAAAGAACAAATTCTAATGATGGCACTATCGATTAGAGATGGAAATTAAGGTTAATATAATAATCATAATTGATTATTCCCTAATCCTAGATTATTTAGCGATGTTTGATTTCAATTAATCGATTATTATGATTTATACCTGTACTATTTCAATAGTGGCAACAGGAATTACTTGTATAAAGTAGTTTTCTCAATCCACATAACACATACACAAAATTATAAAATAATAAACATAATAATTGCTTTCCATTTATCCATACATCAAAACTCATTGTTAGATAATTCTCACTTGTGACGTCATTTACGTCATAATTCAGTGGGATGTTTAGTTGGATTCTTTTTGATATTGTGACAAGTAAGATTCAACGAAGACTTACCATTAATTTGAACATGCTCGAGACCGTGTGCTTGAGTGAGTTTGATAAATTAACATTAAAAATGAGTTATAAACCTCATTTGCCTGTATTTGCCTCTATTTATTTATTTTCTTATATTCACTGAATAAACGTCACTAATCTGACATGAGTATAAAATACTTACATAACTTACAATACTTATATTAGTTGTTTTCCATTTATACTCAAGTGATACTGAGTATAAATGGAAAACAACTAATAAAATATAGATTTATAATAATTATAATCATTCGCATAATTTCTAATACATAATATATTACGCAGAGTGTCCAGTAATAATCCTATCACTTCTCGTGTGCAAGTTAAGTAGAGAAATCTTCTACCAATAATTAAAAATTAAATTGAAATTGGCAAATAAAGCCACAGCGCAGTAGTTGGAGCATAGAGAAGAAATAATACTTCTTTCTGATTAACAATATATTTTAACATTAGTTACATTAAGAAATAAATGTTTCGGATCATATTTGACTTCTTTTCAGCACAATGTCAACAAATCGAATAAAATGTATTCATATTTTTATTTGATTTGTTAGATTTGTTATGACTAACATATTGGTACCATCACATTAATTTAAAGAACTACTGGAAACAATGTGCTTACCGGATCCCCGTGTGATACAATTTGACGTCATCTGAGTGCCAATAATAGATATTTTTGTAATTTATTGCGTTACGTTAACACTTTGTAATATATTTTGTTGACATTGCGCTAAAGAGAGATTAAATATGATCCGAAACGTTTATTTCTTGTTACTGTAACTATTTTTAACTTGAAATATAAGATTAATCAAAAATATAAGATTAATCAAAAAGAAGGAAATGTTATTTCTTCTCTGCGCTCCAACTACCGCGCTATGGTTTTATTTGTCAATTTCGATTTAATTTTTAAATATTCTACCATTTTACAATTTCCGTAATAATTAATGAGGAATTAATTAAAAGAGATCGACTAATTCGCATGAATATTAATGAGCAGCGAAAAGAAACAACCGCTGTTTTGCAGTCGTTACGAGGATCCGGCATTACACGCAATTCGTAGTTGTCATTTGTATAATGCTCCGTCCAAAGTTTCTAGTCACGTAATAGTAGGCTCTTTTCTGATTGTCCTTTTTAATTAATTTGTTATTAATTGTTGCGAAAATTATAAAATAATAAAGGATTTTTCTATTCAGTTTAACCTATTTTACTTGCATACGCGAGATGATATTGTTATTACTGTACACTATGTAGATATAAACATAAATGAGATATGCAAATTAATAGTATTTTCCTTTATTTACAGAGCATACAATTTGCTTGGTCAGTTTATAGCGCATCATGGATTGGTAAATCACAAAAAATGAAAAATAATATTTTCATAATGCTTCAAAAAAGCCAGAAACCACTTCTGATATCTATGAATGGTTTATTACCTGCTCTTACTTTAGAATATTATGCAGGAGTAAGATATATATTTTTAGTAAAAATGTTATCTTCTTTTTTATTTTTGATACATTTCAAAAAGTTTATATGTTTATATGTTTGCAGTTTCTAACATCGGTCTTATCATATTTTATGACAATGAGAGCAGCAATTATTAAATGAACTGTATTAATTAGATGTGTAACTTGCTTTTGTATCATATCGCAGATTACATTAACTGCAACTGATATCTATGTACATACAAAGAATTAAAATTATTATATAGATATTCATATAAAAATACAAGTATCTATGTTCGAAACTCATAATCGTCATTTCGATATAGAAATTCGCGTAGCTAAAATCCGCATCTTTAGATTTAATAAAATCGAAAATTCAAAATTAACAGGCGTCGAGAAACTTCTCGAAATACCTATTTTCTACAAAAACTCAATCGATCGATTTATCTCTTATTTTTTCAACGCCTAAGAAACGCTTATCATGCTCGTTGACAATAACATTGTTAACCGTCGACGAAATCTAAGCAACATACGGGCATGCGCGGCTATACGTCACGATCAGCTGATCGCCAATCAGCTGATCGAAAAAGATCGTGTGCATGGCAAGTATAAAAATCTTAACTCCTGACCTCATCGGCGGCCAATAATGCGCGGCGCCCTGAGGTCACCGCTAAAATATAAAAGTTATTGGCCCACGTCGCAACGGGCTCAAAATTCTGCCCGCTATATAACGAACACTGCCCGTGGGCACTGAGAAGTCTTGCACTTTTCGCTATTAGTACCGCTTATTCAACCGCTCTGTTAAAACCGCTAAATTCTTATACGACCGCTTATTCTCTCGGACCTCCGTTACCTCTTCATCAAAATTCACTGATCAAACCGCAACGACCGCTATTTCTCTCAGACTTTGTTTATCCGCACAGCTTCAACCGATCAATTCGCTATTCCGCTCGCGATATCTCGCACGGTAACCGCCTCGCTTCGTTGCGCCGCTCGTTTTACTGTGAATCGTCATCACTGAACACTTGTCACTTTTATTTCTGACTTTAATAAAGTTTTTGTCCTTCTGTAAATCAGAGGCGAATATCTTTTCACTGAACAATCTTCTCGCAATTCACTGCCGGACTCGCTCGCGAACAATCTATTTATAAATTATCTTCTAATTGTAATTAAAATTGTGTTTATGTAACTTTATTTATATATATTGCGAAAAATATTTGAAATGTCAAAAAATGTTTAATACAAAAGTTTCAGAATAGGAAGATAAGGATATCTCTATTTAATCATATAAATAATTTTTTTAATTTTTGAAAAAAAATTTCAAAATCTAATAGTTTTTCAAAAATATAATAATTTTCGAAATATATAAAAAAAAGTAAAATATTGTTCTGTGTATAAAGGATGATTTCGGGGACGGTGCACTTGGACACAGTAAAATTGGACGCGTTGCAAATAGACACGTTACAATTAGACACAAAACTTTGCACACGGTTCAATTGGGCACCGTTTATTTGCGCACCGTTCGTTTGTGCACCGTTCAATTGCGCAACATTCGTTTGCACACCATTCAGTTGCGCATCGTTCGTTTGCACACCGTTCAGTTGTACATGGTTTGCTTTGATATGTTAGTGGCCTTCGGCCCTCTTCCCGCCACCCATCCCGCCGGTAGGGGACGCATTGCGAAGAATTCAATCACAATAAATATATGCTGTAAGTTATAAAGCGAGGTCCACCTTGCCTACTGGCGGGGTGGTTGCGGGAGGGGGGGGGCGAAAACCCCCCTTGCACACCCCGCGAGCGCGCGCGCGCGTGTGGTACACATACATTTGTGATATATCATTTGTGTTTAAAGTATCAAGATATACAGGGTGGGGCATCTAAAACAGGCCACTTGAATAACTCGGCTGCTTTCGGTGATAGAAAAAAAATGCTTCAGACCACTTTGCTTGGTTTTACGAGAACTATAACCTGAGATCAATGGTTTTTTTGTAGGTGAAAGGGTGGAGGAACTACGAAGGTCAACTTCGATTCTTTAAATGAAACCGCCTTTTTATTGTATATTTTTGCAGCTCACCTCGAGAGCTATAATTAAGTTAGTTTTCATCAAGTACTTTCTGAATTATGAGGCTTTAAATCATTTCTTAATTTTACATAAACCGTAAAATATTTTGTAAAATATTCATTTTCCGATTATCTTATCTTAAAATACTTTTCTGTATAAAATAATGAGAGGAATCAATTGGTATAAAGAAAACACATAGTTATTTTTAAGAAAAAATATGTAATTGTTAATTGCAAATTACATATTTTTTCTTCGAAACAACTATGTGTGTTCTCTACGCTATGTGTTTTCTTTACACAATTGATTATTCTAATTAGTAAAACTGCTGTTTAGGGAACGCAAACCCCAAAGTCCTTGACCTTGACATATGTTGTCAAGATCACTGTCCTGAGTAACGTGGAGTAGGTTTTAGCCGTCGCTCGTTGTTTATTAAAAAGTTATTAGCAAAAGAAGTTTTATGAACTTAATTTTCGGACACCATGTACAATAGCAGACCTCTTATCGCTATTTTCAATACAACTTACTTAACAAGAAAAGATTTTCTAATTGATATCTCGAAGCAACAACTGAAAGTAACATAAAATTAAATTACCTGTAAATAATTTTGTCCAAAATTATTGTTCCAACGTTTTAAAAATGTGTTTTACTAATACGAATTCTGGTACACCCTATATATATGTATATATTTTGAAATTACACATCGTTGCATATACATATATATACAAGGTGGGCCATTTTAAGTGATCCACTCAAATATTTTGGAAAATAATGAAAAATCAAAAAAATGTTTCAGATAAAAGTTGTATGGCTTGAAGGGGCCATCAGATAGTGGCAATGATTTGACCTTGGAGAGTCATTTGAAGATGACGTAAAGGTAACCTTCAATTTCTTAAATGGAACTCCCTATTTTTTATTACATATTCGTGTAGCTTATCTCGAGAGCTTTCCAAAACACTATAATAAAGTATTTCTTCATTGAGTACTTTTCGAGTTATGAGGCTTGAAATCATTTCTTAATTTTGTATAAACCGTAAAATATCTAGTAAAATATTCATTTTTCGATTATCTTGCTTTAATACTTTTATGTACAAAATAATGAGAGAAATCAATTGGTGTAAAAAAAACACATAGTTGTTTCAAAGAAAAGATATGTAATTGTTAATTGCAAATTACATATTTTTTCTTAAAAATAACTATGTCTTTTCTTTACACCAATTGATTCCTCTCATTATTTTGTACATAAAAGTATTAAGGTAAAATAATCGAAAAATGAATATTTTACAAGATATTTTACGGTTTATGTAAAATTAAAAAATGATTTCAAGCCTCATAACTTGGAAAGTACTTAATGAAAACTAACTTAATTATAGTGTTTTGGAAAGCTCTTGAGATGAGCTACAAGAATATGCAAAAGCATATAGGGTGTCTCATTTAAAAAGTTGGAGCTGATCTTCGCGTGTCCTTCAGGTGGCTCTTCAAGATCAAACTAATGACACCATTTTATGTCCCCCTTGAAACCATACAACTTTTGTCTAAAACTTTTTTCAAAATAATCGATTCCAATCGAGATATTATCTTGTCTCAAGATAAATGCCCCACCCTGTATATATATATATATATATATATATATATATATATATATATATATATATATTGCGACGTTTCTTCAATCAATTTAAATTATTCGCAACACTCCTCGAGGTGTTGGAGGGAAGCGTGCGCGGGGGAGCAAAAACGCCGTCAAAAGAAAATAGCGAAATTAATGTAATCGCGCTCTGAAGAACAGGGATGGAGGCATTCTCGCGCGAGCCGCGGCGGAGCGGAGGCCGTTTCGATATCTCGATAAGTTTGGCACCAGATGCGGTCTCTCACGCATCAGTTTTCCACGAAACGTCAAAGAACGCGAAAAATGATAGCCTGCTTCGCCACGGGCCGACTAGCTCGCCTAACGGTAGAGGGGAGGGGTTTCAGAGAAAGCCAATTGATTATGCGAGATTTTACTAATTCAAAATGCGACAAACGCAAAGACGGATATCGACAACTACGAGAGACTAACACTCAAATAAATTACGCGAGTTTAACAAAGAAATATAACAAATTTATTAATAGAGAAATAATATAAAAGAAAAATGTAAAAATAAACTTGAATAACAAATCAGATTGAAAACGACGGTTCACAATAAATTCAAAAAAAATAAGAAAGCGAAATACACAATCAAATTAATCCTGGCACGAATAATAAGACGTTATTCAAAGCAAATGTCCGCTCGAAATCGATAACCAAAACGAGAGCGCTAAGACAATTCTGTTGTTTATCCGAGCCCGTTTTTTGTGGCCGGAGTTCGCTGGACTGAACGATACTTCTCAGAAGACAAAGGATTTTCGGCACGGAAATATTCGCGGATAATATTCACCCAAGACGTATCGTAATTTCGGCAACCAAATCGACGATTTATCGCTACGGACTTTTCTTCACAATTTCCCAATTCGCAATTCTAAACGACAGCTTAATAGTTCGACAGCATAATTAACCAGAGATCGACAATAATTAATAGTTGTGCGAAGACGGATCTCGTACGCGACAGGCGAGCGATATGTTCGATATTCGATAGTCGATGGCGGCCGAAGATTTTTCCCGGCGTTTCGCCTCTTTCTTCCGCGCAAGCAGCTCAGATTTCACTCTCGGTCGTACTTTGGCGATTATTTCGCACCGCGACAAATTCGACAAAAGCAAATTATTACTTACTACGCTCTATTCGCCGGTGTAATAAGCGCGACAAAGACGCAAATACTCTAACGCACACAATACGATAAAATACAATAACGCACGCACACTTAACAATCGACGACGACATCCACGCAATCGGACATCCACAAAAATCGCCCTGAGATAATGTACGGGAATATTCCACGCGGCCACAACAGCAATACGACAACACGGGCGGTGTACGCTTTTCGCAATCCTTCGCGCACGCGGTCGATATTCGGCGGTCGATAGCTACGCGTAATGAACACCCCGAAACCCGGAGAGAGACAAATGTTGCCTTATCAATTAATGCCTACAATACGATTGTCCGCTTTTCCTCGGTCGCTTGCCTCCGATCGCCTGCAAATTCACAAAATATTAACGGCTCGGCACCGAGCCTGAGCGGTCGCGAAACACGAAAATGGCGAAGGCGGCAGAACGGCCGGCCGGCGGACCGAATCGTGTATGTAGCGCACAATAAAAGATGGGCAACCTCACCGATATGAATCCTCGTGTTGGGGATGGTCCTCGGCCTCGTCCTCCGCAGATATCTCTACAACGGCTTTCACACTTACACAGCTTCACAACGCTTACACAGAACGACAACGAATATAACAAAGCGACTAATTAGGTCGAGCTCCCGCACCAGAATGATCCCTGGATCTCTACATCCAGGGTCGATAGCGGCGTCAATGACCGCGTAGAGGGGTGCGCAGCCCTGCGACCAATCAGGTCGCGGCACGCAATCGATCCCGGCGTCTCGCGAGGCACGAGGTATTTCGGCGCCCGGCGCGAAACGGCCTCAAATCCAAATTGCTATCGCGGGCCCTTTCGTAATTGTTCGGTGGAGGTTCTGCCATTGCTCTCTCTCCTCTCGGAGGGTAGTCTAGATCGGGCCTCCGTCCTTACTACCGAAGGAGGGGTGATGTTACCCTCCTGGTCCTCCAGTGCTTCAATTTCACGGGCGCTATTTCCTCCGCTGTCGTTTGCTGTATAGCGCCACATCGTCGGTTGCCAGTAATCCCTCGTTGCTCCCCTTGCTTTCCGAATCTTCTCCGGCGGGTTGCCCGAAATTTGCTCGTTACAAAAAATTACAAACAAAATTAATAAGCGCGAAAAACATAATAGTCTTGCTCGTCTCTCCGGGGAGCTCGATAATGTTCTCTCGATGAGGATTCTGGCGCGGCCGCTCGGCCCGCGTCCCGTTAAAAATATCGGGGCGGATGGACGCGCTACAGGACGGCAACGTCACACCATATATATATATACGAGGTGTGATCAAAAAGTAAGGTGACTTTTTGAATTTCGCGCGCTCTGTACACTCTAATTTCAAAATTTTGTTGTTGTTGTGTTGGTACACTCGTCACGCTCATATGTTCACAGTTTTGACTATATAGCATGTGTTGTTTTTATGTGAGAGGCATAAAAGTTAGACTCGTGTTTGCGTGCTCGGCGATTTTTTGCTGTTGAAAATAATGGAGCAGAGAGTTTGTATTAATTTTTATGTAAAAAATGGTATTAAGTGTTCAAAAACTCTTGAAATGTTGACAGTGGCGTACGGTGAGTCAACTTTGAGCAAAAAAAGTGTTTATAAATGGTATAAGTTATTCCAAGAGGGCCGAGAAAATGTTAACGATGAACCTCGCTCTGGACGCCCCAGCACGTCAAAAACCGACGAAAATGTTCAGGAAGTGAAAGAAATTGTGTTGAAAAATCGTCGAATCACGATTAGAGAAATAGCTGATGATCTTAACATATCGTTTGGCTCATGCCAATCAATTTTAACGGATGTTTTGGGTATGACACGTGTGTCAGCGAAATTCGTTCCAAAACTGCTTAATTTTGATCAGAAGCAGCGTCGCATGAACATCGCCCAAGACATGTTGAACGACGTCAATGATGATCCTGATCTGCTCAAAAGGGTTATAACTGGTGACGAAACATGGGTATATGGTTATGACGTCGAAACCAAAGCCCAATCATCCCAGTGGAAGAGCCCAGGCTGCATCGCTGGAGGAGCTCAAGGCAATACCCAAAAGTGCATTTCAGAAATGTTTTGACGACTGGAAAAAGCGCTGGCACAAGTGCATTGTATCAGAGGGGGATTATTTTGAAGGGGATAACATAATTTTGGATGAATAAATGAATATTTTTTTATAAAAATGAAAAGTCACCTTACTTTTTGATCACACCTCGTATATATATATATATATATATATATATATATATATATATATATATATATATATATATATACAGATATTACATCGCAGAATTCTTATTTAAAAGAACATACAATTTTGATGAGCGGATTAGTGTTTTTTTTTTCGATATTATGAATTTGATATATCCATTAGATAATTTGAATATTCAATAAATTTCTAATTTATATAGACTTTAATACAATTTAATACAATTAAAAAATATCAAATGTGTACACACACACACGCGCGCGCGTGCGCACGGAGGTACAAGGAGGGCCTTTGGTCCTCCTCCCGCAACCATCCCGCCGGTAGACAAGGTGGACCTCGCTTTACAACTTACAACATATATCCATTGTGATTGAACTCTTCGCAGTGCGTCCCCTACCGGCGGGATAGTTGCGGGAGGCCCCCCTTGTACACCCCGCGTGTATGTGTGTGTGCGCGTGCGTGCGTGTGTGTGTGTGTGTGCGCGCGCGCGCATGTGTGTGTGTGTGAGTGTGTTGATTTTCACTCAAAAAGTACAAATTTAACATAGATGGTGTTCGAAAATTAATTAATTAATTAATTAATCCATTTATAAAACTTCTTTTGTTAATAACTTTTTAATAAACAACGAGCAACGGCTAAAACCTCCTGCACGTTACTTAGGATAGTGACCTTGACAACATATGTCAAGGTCAAGGTCATTGGGGCTGGGTCCCTTATGAGAAGATAAAACAGCAGTTTTATCTTCTCATTATTTTGTACATAAAAATATTAAGGTAAGATAAGTTAAAAGTATTAAGGTAAAATAATCGAAAAATAAATATTTTACAAGATATTTTACGGTTTATGTAAAATTAAGAAATAATTTCATGCCTCATAACTCGGAAAGTACTTAATGAAAACTAACTTAATTAAGGGATCTACAATAGGTGTAGTAAGCCTTTAGACTTAAGTTTTAAGCTTGCTTTGAGCCATAAGCTTTAATAAATGTTCTTACAACAAGACGGTCTGCAATGTGCTCTAATCATAAGGCATAACAACCAATGAAATAATTGCAGATTTTTTACTGTGAAAATAGCAGTGTTTATATTTAGTATCACTTATATATTCATTATTAAAAATGAATAATTCAATATTATCCATTTTGACATTAGGTCACTTCCAAAATGTGCTTTTGTACACATATTTAAAGAAAAAGAATCGACTAAGTGGTGGGTAAGCTAAGGTATGTTAACCAACAAAGAGCGTAACAAGAAGTATATAATATGTTCAAAGAATTATATTTTACAGATGAAGAACAATTTGTTGAATACCTTAGAATGAATATAACACAATTTGATTTTCTACTCTCCTTGGTTGGTCCAATGGTACAAAAGAAGTTTAAGAAAGCCTCTTTCTGCAAGACTTCGTTTGGCTGTGATTTTAAGGTTAATATACTCTATCAATATTAACATAATTTCAGTGAATATTCTATTTTATCTTGTATATTTTTCATGACTACAGCTACCTGGTATCTGTTGACAGTCCTAAATATTTATTAAAATATTATAGAATTGATGCATCAATTATTTATAAAGTTATACAGGAGACATGTGTCTTGCAGCACCTTCAGTTGAAAAGTGGAATGAAATAGCTAAACATTTATATACTCGTTGGAATATGTCTAACTGTGTCGGTTCTCTTGATGGAAAGCATGTCCGTATTCAATGTCCTCCTCTCAGTGATTCAGAAAACTTCAAATATAAAAATATTTTAGTATAGTGTTGATGGCATGTTGTGATTCCAACTATTGCTTCACATGGGTGGAAATTAGTGATTATGGTAAGATCAATCCTGAAATTATATAACATTGGTTAAAGTTTTGAGATAAGTTTTATTTTTTTTTTTAATTTTTTTGCTGTTTTAGGCTCTCTACCAGATAGTAGTATTTTTGCCAATTCAAGATTGGGAAAAGCCTTAGAAACATATAACAGTCCGATTTTCCGGTAATAAGCTCGCGAATAGTTCATCGGGTAACGCAGGGAAGATAAAATAAAATAAGATAAAGTAAACCTGCAATGTGAATTTATTGTGCGTGAAAAAGTATGTACACGCATCGGCAGGAATGGTGTCCTGCTATGCTTGTGTTGACGCTCACTGACGTCACACTCACACAAGCGAAGCGCATGTACGCGAGCCGGACAGCGGGAGAGAAAGTGGGGGGCATTCCGATGTTCCGTCCTTCACGCACGGCATAAGAGCCAGAGAGCAAGGACTATGTGACGTGATACCCAGTTAGTGGTTCAATACTAAATAAGTCCGATAGCCGTCTCTCTCTCGCTCGGCACTCGAACGAGAGAGTACAAGCGAGACAGCTATATACCGCGTGGGACACCGCGCTATCTCTATACGCGTTTTAATATCGATATCGATATATTTTTCATTTCCTTCTTTAACGGAATTAAAATGCGGTTGAAACCGCGTGCACCAACGTATTCATTCTATTAAATTAAATAATAATTACTGTCGGCGCTTAACCGGGAGAGAGGGCACTTACTTTAAGAAGAGCTCGAACAAAGTCTTTCGGCCGGCCGTCTAACTCAAACACGTAATTCTCGGCATCACACGGGACATTTCAATAAAAGTTTAAACACGGCAGCAACACGGCACTGACATTGTTCGAGCTGATTCTACCTGTACTCTAAACACGAAGCGGCACGCTCGTCTCTCCGGTGACTCCTGGTGTGTCCCCGTTCCCTTGGCATCGGAAGATTACGGATCGATACTTTAGGGCCGTCGTCCTCTTCGCCGGTCTGCCGAACAGTGACGAGCGCGAGGCCCGCCGGAACTACGCCGGCGAGTTAATCTCGATTTAGGCCACCTGTGGCGCTTCCGCTGCTCTCAGGATCGTCGCGTGGCTTAATTAATCCTGCGGGCTTCCGGGCCGTATCCATTTCCGTCGCGCCCTGTCTCTCCTCCGAGTTTCTTTTAATTTAGACTTATCGAGGCCTAGTGCGAGGGATTTCTTCGGCAGTTGCTCCCCGTCGATATCTCGTTGGATCTGTAGCGCTTTTCCGGCCGATGCGACTTCGACTCGGGGCCCAGGGTTTAACGTTTTCTTCTGGGATTACCCTTCCCCTCAGTTATTCCTCATACCTGTTGGGCATTCAAAATCTTACAGAAGTGGCAACAAGGATTTTCTGGCGACTTCTCTATCAGGAGCATGGTTGAATTATGCAATAATACTTAGCTCAGCGCATTCCGGTAGTTCGGCACCCCCGTCTCGCTTCCTTCCTGTCGGGACGTCTTCCTCGTCTGAGTCACCGGATGAAATCACGCCTTCTATCACTTCGCTTATACAGAATCGCAAAATCTTTACATATCCAAAAAAAATTCAACGCATGGAGGACGAGTCTAATCTCGCCTCCAGTAGCCGCTCTCTCTCCCCAAATTACAGGAAGACGAGAGCCCGATATTTCCTCCCGGTCGGATATCACAATCCTTGTGACGGACTAACGATGTCACGTCACAGTATGTATGTATGAATGTATGTATGTATGTACACGTGTGTGTATGCGCCGTTGTATTTTGACGCGCCGGTTATCGGTTGTTGACCGCGCGTATACGTTGTCGCTAGTTTTTGCGTGAGTTTCTTTGCCGAGGAATCCCTGCGTTTTGGGAATCCCGCTGTAACGTTCCGATTTTCCGGAGATTAGATTGCGGATAGACTCGTCGGATTCTGGGTAATAAGCGGTGAGCGAATTGTAGGTAAAAACTGATTTATTCAGATAGTATGCGTGTGTACAAGCGATTGACGGTGAGTGTACAAAACGTGTGTATCTCGGTGTGAGTATATAAGTGTGAGCGCGTGTAAGAAATTGCGTATAAACGTGAGCGTGTTCGTATGTATAAATGTCTGAATGCGCGTGCAAAATGCAGTTGGTTAAATGTACCGGTATAAATGCGGTTCGTAAATCGAATGAATGCGCTAGTATAATTTGCGTGTATAAAAACGTTGTTTTGACGCGCGCGGATATGCGCTCGGAATCGGTCGAAGACCCCGCGTTGTTTTGACGGTGTTTTTGCCGCGTTTCTTGCGCGGAGAATCCCGTCGTTCCGGGAATCCCGTATACGGAGAAAAAGCTGGTGGATTCCGTGAAATAATATTCTATTTCCTTGAACGGAAAATCGCGCTGATAATTTAGGATCGCGTTTTGACACAGCTGGCCTCGAGAACTCTCGATCGGGGCGGCTCTGAACTCCACCTTCCGTGGGTTTTGCCAGCCGGGATGTGGAGGAGCGGATGGAGGCAGTACCCCACGCGATAGCGAGAACTCTCGGTTCAGGCTGAGTACTCTCGACCTGCTTGATCGGGGCGGTAGTGCCGGTTTTCAGGTGCTTGGTAATCCTCTCGAGCGTACGGCTTAAGAGCGGAACAGGAGAATGTGATTATAAGCCGAAATACGGCCTTTTTATACCGGCTAATTACCCGCGTCGGCGCGCGGCGGTGTTACCCCTTCCGAACGGGTTAATTGCGGTACGGTACGGTCGGGCCCGTTCGGAGGGATTCGGGTTTGCGCCGAACGCGGGTTTTCGCCGGCCGGTCGGTCGGGCTGCGTCGGCTTCGCTCGGCAATTCTCGGCCGTTTAATCGCTTCGATTTCAACGGCCCTGGTCTTTGAAAAAGTATTAAAAATGTGGGCACACCGCGCCCCTGCCTCTGCCCGGCGGGTGTTCTGCCGGGCGGCAACTTCCGGTTGATGTTGTTGCTGGGAATTCGGAACGGTGCATCGGAGTGCACCGTTACACCGCTATACGCGGACCGATGGTTATCGGAGAAGCGCGTATTGCTCGATTTTTTACGAACGCGGGTGTAAATACCGCGATATAATT